ATTTTTCATAATAATCATAGATGCAAGTATATTACATACCTGAATTTACTTTGAGGTATAACATGTACACCTACATGTTCCAAGCTTTTACATGCATCCTCTGCTGTAAACTTTGGATCTTCAGGTATATCTATGTATATCTATAAAAAACAAATAAGTTTTAGAAATTTATTTTTTATATATATATATATATATATATACATCTTTTGATTTAGTCATGCAGATGATCAAACTGAATACCAACCTATAAATGCATTTACTTCGTTACAAAATGTTAATTAATCTCACGATGACGATATTTCATCTACTGCTCCAGAAAATTCATGCTTCGGTTTAATTGGAACCGTAAAATTAACCATTAAATAGCTTAGCCAGATATCGTTATAGTTGTACCAATCGGTTTAAGGCTATAAACCACTCAAAAGTTGTAGCAATGCTAGTGAATAAACCACTCACGATGTTGGTTTCCACCGCAGCGACGTCGACTCTTACCCGGTCAATCCGGTTCAGCCCTTCTGGTATGATGAGAAAAAACCAGAACCGGTTAACATTAAACCGAAATTAAAAACACACCCACACTGTTTCAAGAAACGTCAATCACCTGCCAAGAACTTGGCCTTCTTGTGGTCGCCTTCAAGCTTAGGAAGGTTCTCGTGGAGAGCCATCAATGCGGCGGCGCAAATTACTCCGATTTGTCTCATTCCGCCGCCTAGGGTTTTCCTAAGCCACCTCGCCTGCCACAACATTCTATACATTTCAGAATATATTCCATCGATTCCTATTTTTTAATGGTTTAATTACGTAATTTTTGCAAAACTTACTTTGGCAATGAAGCTTTTGGTGCCCACAATTACAGATCCGACCGGAGCTCCAATGCCTTTGGAAAGACAAATCTGTTCACAACGACCAATATATATATTGATTCAGATCCAAAATCCAATATGTATTAACATGTGAATACTGTCGGGTAAGATATATAACACGTGTTTGAATCGTACCGAAACCGAGTCAGCTGCTTGTACGATCCTCTTCACAGGAACTCCAAGTGCCTGCATGCATCCATGCATGCATGCCACGTATATAAGCATAAACATATAAACCATATATTTCAGTGAATGTGAGTGATTATAACGTAAAAAAACACTAACAATGGAGGCGTTGAAGATTCGAGCTCCATCGATGTGAAGCTTCAAGCCATGCTTCTTCGCTAATTCTCCGACTTTGTCTATATATTCTACACGTAGGCATCTTCCGCCACAGCTGCATATCACGAAACAGTATATAAAACAACATCTGAATATATACACACACATACACATATATACACTCACTTGGCCTGAGTGTTCTCGAGACATATAAGCTTTGTAACCGGGTGATGAAGATCTCCTTTCGGAGTTCTCACGGCCTCTTCAATGGCGGATATTCCCATAGTTCCGTCTTCCTCGTTCTTCACCGTTCTTGGATGGACTCCTCCCAGCGTTGCGATCCCTCCGTTCTCGTACACGTGGATGTGAGAGTTGTCTCCAAGAATCACTTCGCTTCCCCTCTCGTCGCAGTGAACGAGCACGCTTATCAGGTTCCCCATCGTGCCCGAGGGTACGAAAATGGCGGCCTCTTTTCCCGCGATTTCCGCCATTTCTTGCTCCAGACGCAACGCCGTGGGGTCGTGCCCTAAAACGTCGTCGTCCACCTCGGCCTTCGCCATCTCCGAACGCATTGATTCCGTCGGTTTTGTCACCGTGTCTGACCGGAGATCCACCGTTTTGTTTATTGTCGTTGTTGCTGTCGTCGTCGTTACCATCTTTAAACCGGACTTAACCGAACCTTAACCAAACAAACCAAATCAAGGGCAATCAGCACAAACCGATTCTACATTTTTAGAACAGAGGATTCATGAATCATGATCGTACCCTTTTAGAACAGAAGAACCAGACAGAACCGAACTGAATCCCGGCCAGTGAATATAAAACTAATGAATCCTCAGCGCATACACACACACACACATATAGAGATGATCCAAACCAAATTGATGAATCGAACCAAAACCAAAGGATTAAAATCGTACAAATGTGAATTACCAGGTATATATTAAGAAAGCATTTTCAGAACAGAAGAATCAGGATCGTGCACAAAGAGAGAGATGTCACTGAAAACATATATAACCAGTGCATAAATGGGTTGTGTCATGTATATACAAGTAGATACACGTATACATACACATATATGGGGAGGAGAGAGCGACCGTACAGGGAAGCTCTTGATCTGCAGGGACTTTGGCGATGAATCTCAAAACGCAGAAAGACTGTTCCTTTTCTTTGTTTATACACCGAAGAGATGAATTGAAGATGGTAGAGAATGTTTGAGAGAGGAAGTGAAAGATTTGGGGAAATCTTTTTGCAGATTGATGAGAGAGAGAATCTGAGAAAGAAGAATCAGTCCAAAGACATAAAAGTTGGTTTACATAATGACAAAAGGAGCAAAAAAGTAACGGTGGAGATATTTTTAAATATTAATTTTTCATAATTTCATCGAAACCCTGAAATTGGAGCTGTGAACAACAAAGCTAATGAATCTTACGGTAAATAAAAAAGGAAGCAGATTTGGAACAATGGCAATGCCATTTGAACATTTTATTGATAAAAAATTAGCTAATTTGATTAAATTTTAATAATAATGATTCAGGTTAGAAAAGGAATATTAATTAGATAAATAATCATAAATTAACATTTTAAATAAATTTGTGTACATCATATTTATGTTTTGATCCATAGAAAACAAAATTCAGAAAATCATGTAGGAATATATATATATGGGACGGGACGGGACTCGCGATTTAAATCAAACTTCCCAAAATTAATTAATTATCGACCAACGGCAAATAGATGAATAGATATAATATCAACTCAATGAACCGACATTTAAGTATTTTGGTATCTATGGAATGAATATATATATATCATACATGTCGTTTGACGATTTGTTAGTCTAATTTAGTTTTCTCACATCAGGAATATACTTTGTGAGTCGTCACATAGTTTGACCTTCGATAAATATTCTTATATATTTGGCAAATAACCTGTGAAGTTGCAAATTCTAAAAATTATACCCTAAGTACGACCTCTGCATAAATATATTTTTAATATTCCTACGAATTTTTATATGATTTTTATTTTATACTTTCTTTAGTTTTATTATTTCCATATGCATTACAAATAATATTTTAAAATAATATTCAAAAGTGTATAGTTCACCGAATATAAAATTAGTCTATTTAAATAACACCGTTACTCCGTTAACTTCGCTACTGAGAAGGTTTGAATTTCGCCGCTAACATTCAACAGAATTTTGTTATTTCGGCATAGACGGAATATTCTCTCTCTTTCGTCTTCCTACAAATATACGCGAAGTCGGTAGTAAAAGACAGAACAAAAACCTGAATTTCAGAAAACAGAATATTCCGATGACCGGGGAATTTGAATTCGAGAACAGATACCAACTCTCCGACGAGATTGCCAGCGGCAGATTCGGTACGATCACGCGCTGCTTCTCTCCGGTGACGAGCGAGTTCTACGCCTGCAAAACTATCGACAAGCGCGTGCTCACCGACGCTCTCGATCGCGAGTGTCTCGAGACGGAGCCGAAGATTATGGCGCTTCTACCGCCGCATCGGAACGTCGTCAGGATCTACGACATCTTTGAAACAGAGGATTCTCTGGCGATAGTGATGGAGCTCGTCGATCCGTCGGTGACGATCTACGACCGGTTGATCTCCGCCGGAAGAAAGTTATCGGAGGCCGAGACGGCATCGTACGCGAGGCAGATCCTCTCCGCGGTGGCGCATTGTCACCGGTACGGCGTTGTTCACAGGGATGTGAAACCAGACAATGTCCTGCTTGATCTCCGCGACGGCATCGTTAAGCTCTGCGATTTTGGATCCGCTGTGTGGCTCTCCGGAGAGGACACGGAGACGGCGGAGGGAGTAGTAGGGACGCCATACTACGTGGCGCCAGAGGTTGTAATTGGGAGGAGGTACAGCGAGAAAGTCGATGTGTGGAGCGTCGGAGTAGTGATGTACACGATGCTCGCGGGAGAGCCTCCGTTTAATGGTGAGACGGCGGCGGAGATATTCGAGGCCGTTGTGAGAGGGAATCTGAGGTTTCCGCCGAGAATTTTCCAGTCGGTTTCGCCGGAGGCAAAGGATCTGATGAGGAAGATGATCTGCAGGGACGTTTCACGACGGCTTTCCGCAGAAGAAGCGCTTCGTAAGTTCATCATCATCCTCAGTTTCATACACTTTCACTTTAGTTTGAAATTTCGAAATGTTTGGTTGCTCCAAAATTTGAACTTCCAAATCTGAAATTTTCTTAGGAATCAAGGTTCGAATTGTAAACTGATTAAAATAGTTGAATTTGAAAACGCAGGTCATCCATGGTTAAACAACGGAGGAGAACGAGGAGAGTAGAGAGAGAGGGCGAGAGGGGTTTAACCTGAGAGGTCAGATGTTGTAAGCCACCGGTAATTCTCTCTCCAAAGTGATGTATGCTGCTCGTTAAAGTTTGATCTTTGCTCGTTACGAAAGTATTTTAAAAAAAACTATGAGAGATGTTTGACATACGAAAATTTTGACAGATGTGAATCCGAATATCATAAATGGGATATTCTAAATTCGATCCCACAAAGCGATTTCGTATATCCAATCTGCCAAATACCGGTCCCAATATCCGGTTTACCATCCGGTTCAAAACGCTGTTATTATAACTTTGGTTTTATCCCCTTCCAGTTCGAGATAAGGCACTGTTACCTTCTCCTCCTCCATTGCCACGCCTCTCTCTCTCTCTCTCTCTCTCTCTCTCTCTCTCTCTCTCTCTCACCATGCTTTCTCTCACAGCAAACACACTCAAATCCTCCATATTCACGCCCTTAACCCCATCCAAGTCCCATGGATCATTCTCCAATCCGATTACCCGATCCGTTAACCCGAGACCCATCACCGTCACCTCTGTCCTGATACCGTCCTCCGACAAACTATCTCCGGTGAAGCCAAATCTCTACCAACCCTTCCGTCCTCCTCCGTCGCCGGTCCCCTCTCAGTTCCGAACCCTTGACGCCGCCGGAAAAATCGAGGTCCTCGCCGGTCGAATGGGTCTCTGGTTCGAGTACGCGCCTCTCATTTCCTCCCTTTACACGGAGGGATTTACTCCTCCGACAATCGAGGAGCTCACCGGAATCTCCGGCGTCGAGCAGAACCGCCTCATCGTGGGAGCCCAGGTCCGCGACTCAATGGTCGAGACCAAAGCGGATCCCGACGTAATCGCCGCTTTCGACACCGGAGGCGCCGAGCTTCTCTACGAGATCCGCCTCCTCAACGCCACGCAACGTGTCGCCGCGGCTAAGTACATCGTCGGACTTGGATTCGACGCGAAGAAGGCGCAGGATTTGGCTCGAGCCATCAAGGATTACCCGAGGAGGAGAGGGGACAAAGGATTGCAATCGTTCGATTACAACTTACCTGGGGACTGTCTCTCCTTCATGTATTATAGACAGAGCAGAGAGTACAGGAACCCATCGGAGCAGCGAACCGCCATGTTAGAGCAAGCGTTGGAGGTCGCGGAATCAGACAAGGCTAAGAACGAGGTGGTAAGAGAGCTACAAGGTGGAAAAGGCGGAGGGGGAGGAAGCAAGGAGGATGAAACCGAACCCAACTGGGTTCGTGTCCCGGTGGTGAGACTGCGGTTCGGGGAGCTAGCGGAGGCAACGTCAGTGGCGGTCCTACCGGTTTGCAAGGCCGAGGAAGGGAGAGAGAAGGTTGTGGAAGCTCCAATGGAGTCCAAACCAGGAGGGCAATTCGGCATTGTGGAGGCCGAGAAGGAGTGGAGTAGATGGATGGTATTGCCAGGGTGGGAGCTAGTGACAGCTATAACAAAGGGTGGGGTGGCGGTGGCATTTAGGGACGATAGAAAGGTATTGCCATGGAGGGCAAAGGAGGAAGCTTTGGTGGCGGTGGTGGATCGGGAGAGGAAGACGGTCGAGGCTGAAGACGGGTTCTATCTGGTGGCTGTCGGAGGAGACGGGGAAGGTCTGAAGGTGGAGAGAGGGTCGGCTCTGAAGGCGAGAGGAGCCGAGGAAGAGAGTTTAGGACTGGTTGTTCTGATAGTCCGGCCACCGCGAGAAGAGGATCAGCTGCGTGATGAAGACTGGGACTGAAAACACGAAGAGATTAGCAACATCTCGTTACAAAAGAATCAAAATTCAGTATCTTGCATTGTTGTTTTCAACGTTTCATATTATCCTTAAAAGACTAATCGTGTAAAATTTTGGTAAAGGTGGAGACTTTTTTGTTTTTCCTCTGGGTTTGAAGTTGAACACATACATAATTCTTTGATCTTTACTAACCTGATAGTGCATCATCTTCTTTTTTCCACAACTGTTTGGCACCTGAGAAAGAATACACCATCTCTTAATCCGAACCCAGTTTTGATTGGTATATTCGATTGCATTGAAGGACAAAAGAGGTATGCGCAAATACTCTAGTGGTGATTTAATAAGCTCAGTAATGTTTACTTATTAGAAGGTAAAAGGTGCCGTACCACGGAATTTTGTCACTCTTTGTCCTCTCGTCCATCAGTTGAAGCAACCTCAGCCACATCAGGTGTTGTATCATCTTTCAGGGCATCCGCCTCCTCTGTGTCATAATCGGAAGATTCAATATTAGTAAACTAATCAGGAGTAAATAGCCTCTAAACTTGCGGGTAACGGGGTAAGGGTAACAAAAAAAAAACAATGTTATAAGGGTTCTCAGTTCTCACCACAAAGCTGTCATCTGGCTTTTTATCGACGCACTATGAGAGAGAGGGAAACAAAAAAACCTTCAACAAGATATCAAACCTCTTTCATTACACTATTTATTTCGGTTTCATCATGTCTATTCCATGAGTTTTTACCTCAGCTACAGGCTACAGCATGTGCTGCGGAGAACAATGCATGATAGTCAGCTCGAACCGAAGGGATATGTACAAGGGGGTTGGTAATGACATGGCAGCCTCCAGGATCGGGAAAAAAGGGGTTGCTTTGCTTGTTTCTGGCTTTCCAGCCTTAATCAATCAACTGTATTGCAAGCTTCGGCACCTCGAAGAACTTCGAAGGGTTCTTGATGTGAGTCGTTATCTTCGATTCTTCTGCATTGTTTCTATAACCTGTCCCGAGACATCAGTATTCAGTTGTTGTCTTAAGCCTCAGACGCATTTCAGGAGCTGCAAATTGAAGCCAACGCCAAACCATGGCTTCTACTTCGTTTACATAGAAAGAAAAAAGGAACATTTTTTTGTAGGAAAAGGGGAAAAAACAACTTCCCTAAAGCTAACCCTGAAACCAGTAACTAGCTAACGAATGCTAATTCATGTAAGCGATTGGTTAAAGACTGTAGAATTCTTCCATTTACGAGGATGAACACAAAGTCGAGTTAAGCAATCACTGATCACTCAAAAGATGCAGATGTAAAGAACCAATCATATATAATTATAGTGACCAAAATTAGTGGAATGGGAGAATCAAACACTTAATCATATAATCCAATTGCGGTTGGAATTGTACATACCTTCTTGTCGCCGTGCAGATTCTGCCACTTCAGAGCGCTCTTGAGAACTGGAGCCGCAGGAATTTGAACCTAAATCAAATCATTAAACCAAAAAAACTTAACAGAACCAAAACAGCTACTAATTTTAATTCAAAAGGAGACCAAATTAGGGTTTTAAGTCCCCCTCCCCGATCATCGATGTAGAATGAGAACGTCAAAGACGCAAATTCCAGTCGAAGCTTCCATTTCCCACACCAAAATTGGTTAAATTCGAAGAGCACGAAACAGGAAACCGAATTTTCAGAAAACAACAACACCAAAACCAAGGAGAAACAGATCGTAATAGGGAAAATGTTTTTCTATTATTGATAATGGGAAGAATACATCATAATATATAGCAAAATACAATAGAATATTCTAAGCATAATATCTAGGGTAAATCATAACAATATTAATGATAATATTATAAGAATAATATCTTCCTATAGATCGGAGAAAGCACGAAGATATTCTGCAACATAGTATACCTGCTGCATCAGGTGTAGATTCTGCCGGTTTCGACCGCTTCAAGGCACTCTTGAGAACCAGGGCGGCCATGGAGAAGAATTACACTCCTTCAATGCATCTTCTGCTTCAGGAATCGGTGAATCGGATCCCTGTTGTGGCTGAAAGGAGGTGATAGTCCTTCGATTAGATCATCCGCCATTGCTCGCCCTCGCTATCTCTCGTTTTTTCCTTCGCCGACGAAGACGACGCCATTGCGTGGGAATGCCGGTGACTGACTTTCGAAAAAATGGGCCTAATAAATGGGCCATTATGAGATGGTCCGGCCCAATAAATAATGAAGTCAAGCAAATCAGCGGATGAGACAAAACCTGATTTGAGTGAAGAAAGCGATCAAAATATTCACCATTAATTTTTATATAATTTATCCAATTTATATAGAAAAATAATAATCGTCTTATTTATATACAATTTATTCATTTTTTATGTCCTAACTATATAGGACTCGTTTTTAATTTATGGGTCTAATGTCCATCATTACTCTCTTGAATAACAAAATTATGATGAATTCGTATATATTTAGGAGAAACAAATCAATAAGTTCTGATATATTTAGAATGGAAAATAACGGACCTGTATATAAATCAGCTGAATCTGAAAGCGATTGTGTTTCTATAATTTTATTTTATTTTAAGATAATGATAGTTTGTAGCATATATGTTATTTACTGATATTTGATAAGAAATTGACAAACAGTCATAATCCGATTCGTATATAATATACCCTTGCATTAACTGCATACTTCCAATAAATATATAATATTAAAATACATTATCCCATCCATTTCGTCAAACTAGTGTTTTTTTTTTCAAGCATCCTCTTTATTATTAAATTCGTGGAAAATACGATATAGTTTTTAAGACAACAACACGAAACACAAATCTTGTAGCTCGTTGAATCATGCATTGAAAGATTCAACAATTCTTTTTTATATAATCAATTTGCCCCGTTATTGTGTGTCATAGAGTCCCGAGGAGTTCAACCACCCCTTTGCTTTTTGTCCACCATTTTTATATGTATATGTATATGTATATGTATATGTATATGTATATGTATATGTATATGTATATGTATATTTGAGAGTGGTTCAATGTATGTGAAAAAGAAACATAAACTACATGTGCAGACCAAATTCTATCATAATTTCACTAATTATACATTCGAAATCATAAAAGATCAAATATCATTTACAAGATACTTGTGTGTGTGTATATATATCACTCCTTGATATGTATATTTGTTTTTAATCAATTCATTCGAAATTCAAATGTGATGATATGTAACATGATATCATATAATATATATGACTGATCTGTACAAGAAAATTATATTATATACTAGGGTTGACGAATCATGTTGAACAAGACCGTATATATATATATATATGAAAAACTAGTGGGAACAGATGTGTGCCAACTATATATAAACTCAAATATCATGCATATAATTTTGTTGGAATTATCAAGTTTTGTTTATATTTTAATATTTTTACTCATATAAAACGCAAACAAATATTTTATTCTTTTTATACAAAACTATATACTGTATATGTGACAAAATGTCAAGTTAATCTAACGAATATATTTAACTTTTACCCGCACAACACATCCATCATATATATATAGAGAGAGATAATCCAACTAGCACACACATATATATATATATATAACGTTTAAATAAATAAAATCTTGTGGTTTACGTACTTGAATATTGCTATTTCCACATTCATTTTTTGTTTTATTTCTTTTACGTGCAATTTTGACATTGACGTTATCATATCTGTCGTTATATATATAATCATTGTGTGTTTGGTTAAAATTTAATTTGTTCTCTTGTCGGTTCTTGTAAATACGTATATAATATTTATACGTCTTCCGAAAACATGAGCCATTATTTAAATATCTACTGAATAAGGATAATTTTACAAATGTTTTTCTACTAATTAATGAATAAGGATTATTCGTGTTTTATACCTCGAGGTTCTTAGGCAATTGATTATCGACACACATAATCGTGTATACACGCACACACATATATATATAAGGTACATTCCTTTCCAAAAATAAATGTCATAGTTTTATCACGGAAATTAAATAATGTGAAAAAACCCTAATTACACAGACATCACTGTCTGCTTCTTCTCGCCAAAGCTTGTATGGAGAGGCAGTGAGTGCTCACTCTTAGTGCTTTTTAGTCAGAGAAGAACACACGCGGCTTATGAAACCCTAGCATCTTTGTGTCCATTATATTATAATTCACGTCAATTTTATATATATTATTCGCATACTCTTTTGGGGCTTTGTCTTAACTCGCTTTAAAACAAAACAGTGTTTAAATATACGTATTTGTTTGCCTAAATGTGTCACGTCTTTTCCCTTTCTTGTCGAGTGCGAGCATCATCCTTGTCGTGTTCCTTTTAAGTTCTTGTGTCTCTTTAAACTCAAACCTCTATTCTCAATTCAAGATCTAAACCTTTAAGTGGGTTTTCGGGTTTCTAACTCTTTTTTTTTTTTTTTTATCTAAAGATCGGATCTTTGCAAATTAGGGTTTTGTGTCTTTTGAATTAAGTACTTGGTCTTTGCTTTTTTTGGGGTGTGCAACTATGGCGAATCCATGGTGGACGGGACAAGTGGGTCTCTCAGGCCTCGAAACGACGCCGTCGAGTTCATCTCAGATGAAGAAACCCGATCTCCACATCTCCATGAACACGGCCCTTGGGTCCACGGCGAGTGAGCCCGGTCACAACCATCACCGGGACGTGGACGACGAGAGAGACAACCATAGCGACCACGAGCCACGCGAGGGGGCCGTGGAAGCTCCCACGCGCCGCCCACGAGGCCGCCCATCTGGCTCCAAGAACAAACCCAAGCCTCCGATCTTCGTCACGCGCGACAGCCCCAACGCGCTCAAGAGCCACGTCATGGAGATCGTTAGCGGCTCCGACGTGGTCGAAACCCTGGCAACCTTCGCTAGGCGGCGGCAACGCGGCGTTTGTATCCTCAGCGGCAATGGAACAGTCGCAAATGTCACGCTCCGACAACCTTCATCCTCGGCCGCTGCCGGAGGAGGAGGCGGTGGAACAGGCGCAACGGGATCGGTTATGGCCTTACACGGAAGATTCGAGATTCTTTCCTTGACGGGCTCGTTCCTCCCAGGGCCCGCCCCGCCGGGGTCCACCGGCCTGACCATATACCTAGCCGGCGGCCAAGGCCAAGTGGTCGGGGGGAGTGTGGTTGGGCCACTGGTCGCAGCAGGGCCAGTGATGCTCATCACGGCCACGTTCTCGAACGCTACGTATGAGAGATTGCCTTTGGAGGAGGAGGAGGAGAGAGCGGGAGGAGGGCCGGGAGAGCTCGCTGGAGGAGGAGGATCGCCGCCGAGCGGTGGAGGCGGCGGAGGAGAAGTAAACCAGGGGCTTCTGGTGTATGGTTTGCCGGGAAATCTTGTCAACGGCGGAGGAGGGCAGGTTGGCGGCCAAGATGCTTATGGTTGGTCTCAAACTCGGCAGGGTTATTAATAAACGGATTGAAAAGGGCTAATTAACAGAATATATATTTTCGGATATAATAAGAATGAGATCTTGATTAATGATGGTACTACTAGTATGCTATTTAGTGTTTGTTGTACATCATTTGGTTTCCACTATTGGCTGTGATCATGGATTAGTTTCACTTCGTAATTTGCTTGACATGATCTTAATTATTGATATTTAATTAAACTTCTTTTAAAATTTATGTGTTAATATTTCCTTTATGTTCTTCAATATATATATATATATAGGTGTGCGTATATGCGCATGCAATAATGATTCTCTTCGATCAACGTGTATATATAGGTGTGTATAATATAAGCGTATGCAATAATGCATAATATGCCATCTTATTTTGTCTATTGATATTCTTGTAAGTGTTATTGATTGGGTACCATCACCAAAATCGGTTTTCCATTAAAAAAAAAATCTTTTAAATTCTATACGATTATATATCATCCATCCAACACTAATGTAAAATTTCGTATATATATGTCTGTATCGATTTAATTCTGATGGTGGTTTAGCTAGGTATGTGATCCGGATTGTTAGAGATCGGTCGGTCCAAGTTGAATGTCGTCGATTTACAAATTTCCAAGACTTTTCCTTCTCGGCTTCTTCGAGGAATCGTAAAAATATAATAGTAGAGGAGCCCATTCTCACGTGGTTCCCACATGGGCGCCTCTTGCAAATGCAAAACCCTAAGGTATATATATTAATATATATAATATGATACCATTAAATTATGCTAAATATATATATTTGTGCATTTGGTACACATCCATTAGTGCATATAATATATATACTATCCAACACTTGTCAAACCTAACTCATATTTTTTTTATTATCTGCATACACTTCATAATATTGTATATTAGTGGTGGAGAAGATCAATATCATATATAATAGTGCTAAGTTTATTTATTCGAAATATAAAAAAAATATCATACATTCGTAAAACGAAAATCACTTAAAATACGCTAATGTTTTTTTATAACAAAAACTGAACATACACGTGACGAATTCTTATAGAATTTTACATCCAATATTATACCGAATAATATAGTTTTTTTCCAAATAAAAAAACCAAATCCAAAATAACTGAATCTATTAAAATTTAAAACTAAAATATTCTTCTAACAGTAATATATCATTGATAAGATCTATGATTATTTCACTAGAAAACCCTTCCCAAGACGTAAACAAAATAAAAGGTTGACACCTTCTACAAAGCAAAAATAGATATATAAAAGCAAACCCTAAGCAATATAATCCAAGATGATAATTAAAAAGCAAAGAGTCCAACATAGGACAGTTAGGAAATAATTATATAACTTTGAAAAGGGATCCATAAAACGAGCATTAATTTAAAAAAAAATACAACAAAGGACCGCAGGATAAAGCATTAGTTGGACATTATTATAGTGATTTAATTCATTCTTTTAATATAATCAAAGCTAATATGTACACTGATGCATGCATCATCAACCGCGAAAATGTAATAATATATTCTATTCTTTCAAATTGCCCTTTAATTAGATTAAAGCCATATATATATATATATATATAATCGAGGTATACGTGCAGTGGATCGGGAGTTGGGTTAGGTGGTTTCTTACCTAACTTTATCCGCTCTGTAATGAATTGATTCTTATTTGATTTGATCCGAAAAAATATATAATAGAAATTGATTTACGTGAAATTAGGCTGATCTTAGTTTTCAATTTTATTCGAAACGGAAACAAAACTAAAACAAACGATGCAAAAAAAAATTTAAATGTACTAATAAACATTAAAACAAAAGATTAATTCCCTTGAAAAATACTAGCTATTTTTTATTTATGAAATTGAAAAAAAAATCTCGAATAAATAAACATTTTTTTGTGACTATTATTAAAATCATAAATTTTACAACACTGATTCCCAAACAAAATACACGAATTTTTATTTGTCTAATTTTCAGAAAATTCTTATAAAATTTATATATTTACTTAATAAGTAACAAATTCATGTGTTTTATTTCTTCTAGAGACAACTCATTTGTTTTTCATTTTGCGAGCAGATATGTGGAGAGTGACTGGACAAACCCGCCGAAAGAGACGGAAGGTTCTTCGATGTCTTCACATAAACCCTAAAAGGAGCACATGAACATGGATATGTAATGCCATGCGATGTGTAATATTTCATCAATAACATAACTTCGTTACAATTAATGCGGTCGCATATAATAATATAAAACCCCTCCCAAAATTTCCATCTCTATACTTCACTGTATAACACAAAACAATTCGATTTCTTCATCCGTCATTCGCCAGAATTCTGAAGAACGCGTCTGAGCTCGGAGGCCATGACGTGCAAGAGAACAGGCTTCTGGATCAAACCGTTCATGCCCATCTGCAGGCACCTCTCCCTCACGCGATCCTCCGTGCTGGCCGTCAAGGCCACGATCAACGGCCACCTACTCCCGCGGCTGAACTTCCTCACCTTCACCGCCACCTCGAACCCGTCCATCTCCGGCATCTGCAGGTCCAATATCACCACCCTGTACGCCATCTCCGCGTTGGCCAGCGAGCTCAAGCACTCGAACCCCGACGATACAGCCGTCACTTCGCACCCGAGTTTCTCCAGCAGCCGTTTCGTCACGGTTCTGTTCACGTCGTCGTCGTCAGCCAGCGTAACGCGCAGACCCCGCAGATGGGTGTTGGAGTTCGGGTTCGGGCTTTGGTCCGGTCCTCCTAAGACGGCTCTTCTTACCGAGGGTCGGGTTTGGAACCTCAGAACCAGTGTCATGCTCTGGTGCTGTCCACGCGATTTGGGCGATATCCATATGTTACCTTGCATCATCTGTAGAACAATTACAAACTATGCTAATGGAGACACAATGACAGAAAACCAAACCATGGAAGAAGGTTTTTTAGTTTTAAACTCACCTGTGCAAGTTTTCTACACATCCCTAAGCTCAAACCCTCCTTGATACCATTGCTCTTGTATCTTGTGCCCGGGAAATGCCTCGTAGCGATATACGAGCCATCCGATTGCGGATTTTTATCATTGATGTCTACTTCAAACTTCACCCCAACACAGTCGTCTGTCACGTGAGATTTCCACATTCCCGTCTCTCTTCTGTTCTTGTCCTGACCGCTGCCACTCTCGGAGATAACCCGTAACGCCACGATTTTGCCCCCATCTTGCATATCCAAGACATAGCCGAGCATGTACAAGACCAGCTGGAACGCCCTCTTCTCATCGCCCACGACTAAATTCGGGAGACGGGTCTGAATGTCCATCTCGAACCCATACCCTTTGTAGACAGACAAGCACTTAGCCACACAAACCACTTCTCTTATCAGGGAATGCAGATGGAACCGCTTTATCTCCAAGGGAGATTTCCCGTTGTCTTTTGGAGATATGTCGATCACATCGTTTATCAGGGTCGATAGGACCGTGCTCGTTTTCACCAATGCATCGACGATGATCCTCTGATCATGATTCATATTTTCCGACTGAAACATCGAAAGAAGGCCCAAGATCGTGTGCATGGGTCTCCTCATTCCATGGCTCATCACTTTCTGGCAAGTGTGTCTTGCTTGGCTAGCCATCATGGCATTCTGCTTAGCCCGCAACAAGGCTCGGTTCTGAATACCGAGCTTCTCCCTCATCAGCTGAGATTCTTCGAGAACCGAGGCATGCGATAGAGCAACGGCTACCTGATCGGCAACCACCTCCACTATCTCCAACTCTTTCTCGCTCCAATCCCGCGAATTTACGTCCGGAAGTACCAAAACCATTATGGCGTAAGAAGTATCCACAAACTCGGGAGTCCCTCCTTTGAAATTCGAGCCGTGGAGCATGGGCATCCGGATTGCCGCCACTGGACCAAACCCTTCGGCACCGCCACTGCTCTCAACCGCGAGCACAGAATCTTTCCCCAGGATTGTCACTACTTTAGTCTCTCGCACCTGAAGAACACCAGGTTCGTTAACCGGGATTGATCTGAAACTCCTCAATGGATTCGCTCTCAGCTCGTGAGTCAGATGCATCTCGGTTCTGTTCTCGTTTGGCAACCACACAGCAGAGTTCTGCAAGTCCAGAATCTTGGAGATCTCGACGAGAGTGGTCCGCAATATCGTGTGCTTATCGAGGGACTTCCTGATTTCACGAGTCAGCATCCGCACGTGCATACTCATTTCCTTCTGCTTCTTCATCATCCCGACCTCCTCGTTCAATTCCAACACATTCTGCTTCAGGTAAAGCTCCCGGACCTTCCATTTCAACAGGAGGGGGATCAGAGTCAGCAGCGTGATGGCGGTGGCGCATGAGACGAGAGCCGTGAGGAACTTGAAGATTGTGAGCCATAGCATCAGCTGGAAAGAG